GGCTGTAATGTAATTGAGGACGAATACACTTTACATTAGTTGTCCCAAATACAGCTCCTAAGGTGAAGTTTATTGCACAGTATTACTTCTCCCCACTACAGAGATAAAGTTTATTTCATTATTTCAGAATCAAACCCCATATATACAATTAAACCTTGGTAAATTTATATTTTATAGTTTTCAAGTACGTCAGCTTATGCTTGAAGAGAACACTTAATTATGCAAATGTTATGTATTATGATTTTATATTTGTTTTTCTTTACTTGTTTCTGCGACCATTCCAATCTAATTTATTATGTATTTATTTGTATCTGTACATAAGGCCAATGGCCACAGTACGAAATAAAGATATATATATAATCGTTACTGGTATATTTCTTTCTCTGCACAGTCTCAGTTGTGGTGATATACATTCACCAAACGATCCCCACCCTGTGACAGCGGACGAGCTGAGAGGGAGGAAACTTATAAGATAAGCACGCTACCAAAGACAAAGACTATTAGACTGGCATTAAAGACAAGCTCCCCGATCCTGAATACGGTGTAGCCCCACAAAGGCCCCCCCGCATTTAACGTCACAGTATCGTGTATCTGAATCTTCAATTTCAACTCGTGACACATACCAATTATTTTCTCCTCTCACGATAGTGACGAAACTTATTCGATAATGTAATAAACCAATTTTGAATTTCTGCAGGAATTTCAGCAACAATTAAAGAAAACTTACTGAGAATTTGTGTTATATTTATATTATATTCGACATTGGCAGGGATAGGGCTTGAACTTGGAGATGGAATATTCGCTGGGGTAATTTTCAGTAATATCATTCACCATGAAATGATATTAGTAATCGGCTTTCCATAGTGTTCTGTTTGCGTGCCAATTGTTAAATGCGATTTACTATAATATTCTGATATTCTGCATTGCCAACCTTACATGATACAATATCACGATTCTCTTCTTCTAACTCATTTATGCGATATATTGACCGTTTAAAATTCGTATATACCTCAAATTAACATGTTTACTTTCCAGAGCGTTTTTAGAATGTTATTATTATTTTTTACTTATTTTTTTGTATCTTATTTAAAAAAATACCGTATTGCATTTATCTACTCATTCTTAATGTAGGTATATGTCAGTTTCAATATGAGGTACAGAAAATGATAAAAATAGTGCTGGTCACTGGAGAATTCTGCTAATTTTGAGTAATCAATGATTAAAATTGGCATAAAGTCGAGAGTTGTACATTTATAACTTGCACACCAAATAATCGATAACTAGCATTGGTAACATAGAAGCAAGAAACCCTGTGACAAGAGTGGGGGGGGGGTAATTGTTTTATTAAAATTGCACTCAAGCTATGTAATTTTTTTATGGTAGATGCAAAACTACATTCTGTACAAGACGACTCCGACTAATCTGCATCACGCGCCATACATCCCACAGTCCTTTGCGTTCACACGAATTCAGCAAAATGGCCGGTCGTGATAGTAGTGTCCTATGTCTCTTCGATGTCGATGGCACCCTGACACCAGCGAGGCAGGTAGGTGAAGAGTTTCGTGCATATATATATATACGGTAATATCATAATTACGAAATGGTGAATTCCGATGATGATCTGACCAAGAACATATTAAAAATCAGACTTAATTTAATTAGATTGTAAACACGGCCACGTCGCAAGGTTATCTCTATTTGGATACTAGTACCTTCGGACTCGCGTAAGGAAAAATCCATGCCGCCTTGGGGATGTCAGTGGAATGAGATGTTGTATATCTTTTAAAGAGATTTCTAAATTGGAAGTATTTTTTCTTTCACGATTTCGCGTTTTGTAAATTTGTTTACGAGTTTCTCAGCTGTTGCCTGACTCCTACTGCATGACCATGAGTGTTTACATATTCATGAGGGGGCGCGGTCGCGTTTGCTTAATACTATTGGCTAGATTCGATTTGATTGTATGGTAATGTACTTAGTTGTTCAACTAGATGGTGCAACCTTGGAAGAAAATTACGTTAGAAATACTACTAGTACGAGTTACAGCAACTAACGTTGAAAATAAACACAATAATTTTTAAACACTCATAAAGAGGTATTGTAATTTACACATTCAATCAAACAATTATTTCCCAATATTTTAGCTATAACACAATTTCCATAATTTAAGATCACCTTGCGTATTAACTATTTCAAATGGAAATATATGGACACATATTTTAACTTTCGTAGTAACAAATCTGTGGTAGGGATTTTCTTGCTCAGTCAAATAATTTACCATGTCATAATTTTGGAAGTCTCTGGTTGAGTTGTTATTAGTAATTCATATTTATATTAGCCCTGCCTTTCTTAAAACGCGGTGGTTGTCTGCCATCCTTTAATGATATTTTATTCATATTGCCGGATTTCTATCAAATCATATATGCTGTTTGATACAAATTTCTTTTCTTAGAAAATTATCGCTGGAATGGGTGATTTCCTACAAGACCTAAAGAAAAAGGTTGTTGTTGGTTTGGTGGGCGGATCTGACTTTGCTAAGATTGCGGAACAAATGGGAGGTGGTGACTACATCTTGCAAAATTTTGATTACGTCTTTACAGAAAATGGACTGGTAGCCTATAAAGATGGAAAACTTATCGGCAAGGAGGTGAGATGTGTTCTTACTACGTTACATTAAACATATACATGTATCAGCAAATTTATAAATTCAGCGAAAATGTATGTTACTCATCAGGAATCAATGTAATTTTCTAATAAATTATAAACTGTATTATTTGTCTAGTCACTGTTAAACACATTTGACATACTCGGTAAATGCTCTAGGTTTGTATTCAATCATATTGACTGTTTTATTTAAATAGGTCACCCAATTTTTTTTTATCAGGATAAATGTACTGTAAAATGACTAATTTTCACTGGGTTTAAATTTCACTGATTTACCATTTCAGGCATATTCAATAGGTTTTAAATTCACGGTTTCGTCATTTAGATAATGTGTTCTATGCTAAATTTTACATATTCACTGTGTTTTAATTTAGCGCATTTTTCCAGTCAGCGAAATAAGCTAAATTAAAACCCAGTGAATAATTACCCCCTTTACAGTATCAAATTTTGTCAATAAGAGTTAGCACTTAATATGACCTCTATGCATTTTACGTCAAATTAATATTTGACAGAATCTTGAGGATTGGATACAAAATACTATAATCTGTATTAGAAGCCGCTGTTTATAATAAAATGATACAATCCAATAGAGGGGATGAGGCTTCTATTAGAGCATATACACATATGAGAAATGATGAATTTTTGATTCCCAATTGTTAAAAAAAAATGGGTGCGACTTCTATTAGGGATGCAGCTTCTAATACAGATTTTACGGTACATGTACTAGCAAACAAATTGTTTCATGTTTTTTTAATTAGCCTTTGACAGAAAATATGCTGCATTTTATATACTATTTTTTTTTTTTACATTTATTTACCATTTTTCTGTCCTCTTTCTTTGATACCACAAAGGTCACTCTGGCCATTCTGAATTAAAAAATATGAAAACATGATGACAAATGCAACAAATTGTTGTTTCCATGGAAATCGTATCTGAATCTCTAATAAAATTTAGTCAAATGGTTCATATCAAGGGCACCTGCCCATTAGAGTTCTATAGAATCCATCTACTGTATTTACTTTATTAGAAGTGCATCTCCAATAGAAGTGCAATATAAACCTAAAAATTGCATTGGCTATACATTAAAATATTACATATTTTGACCATAGAAAAAATCTCTGTTATTCACATAAACAAATTTTGTAGTTTTAAATGGACAATCATTCCTAAAACTTCATAATCAAGCGTCTGTAATGTTTTGAGTTATAAATAAAAAATCATAACCTCCTTGGCAATAAAGTAATAAATGTATATTTTAATATTCCAGTTTGTCCATGTTTAGAGAGTAGTGTGTGTGCAGTATAAGAACAAGATGTTACAACCTGTTTTGTCACTGTCAAAGGATTAACTTATCTCCAGCTGACACCGTTTTGTAGATTCATTTCGTCTATCTATGAATACTTCCATGCTATACATGTTTTACTTTATCTCAATGTGTTATGAAAAGTTCCATCGTATTTTACTTTATTGGAAGTGCTTCTCCAGAAACATACATATTAACTAAAAACTGCTTTTCTAGTATGCTGCATTATTAAAATATGACTTATTTTAACCATATACATATTACGTTACATATTACGGTATATTTACTTGTTTTTCTATTTTTCGGATTAAAACATAACTTTCATTGTAACCCCTGCTGAAATCAATCTTCCTTCAGGTTTCATTGGCATTGCAATATTTAAGTGTTTAATTTTATGTACACAGATAGAAGTGTGAGTTTAATACTGTAAAATAATTTATTTTAGCTGGAATTAATTTTTGCTGAAAAGACCTTTTGGGTGTTTTGTAGTATAGGGAATTTATTTTCACTGATTTTTGATGAGTTGAATGTAAAATATAGAAAAAAAGAAAAAATCATTCCTTCAGCGAAAATAAATTCCAAGCAAAAATAGTAATAAAATAGAAAGTATTTTACAGTAATGAATTGATTGTATAGTACACCATAGTTTGATATACAATATTCATCACATAATAGGACCTAAAAAAATGTTCCACTTGCAAGAATTATTTTATTAGATTATTTTAATTATTGTGCAAAACAATTATGTAACAAATAACAATATTGGAGTTGGTAAATATTGATTTTAAAATTTCACCAAATGAATGGATATGAAACAAAAAATCAACTGTGATTTAAATTCAAATCACAAAGCTGATTGAAGACACAATTGTTTTTTAGAATATTTTTTATATAAAATTCTAAATCATGTGATTTTATTTTGTAATTATTATCACTGTATCCTGCAGTCTGTAAATGTTAATTTATTATATGTACACACACTACCTGACATACCCTAATGAATATATAGTAAAGTAATTAAAGTACATGTACTACAGTCAGCCATAATCATATGATAGTAAACACTTTTCAAACACAACTGGTAGACATTATCTCCTTAGCATATTGCCACAAGTTAACACATATTTACCATTTCTGTGATCTACATTAAAATGCTTTATATTTTAGATTGTGTTGGATTTTATTTTCACAGAATCATCTCTTCAGCAACAATAACAAAAATAAATTGCAATCAAAAATAAAGTATTTTACAGTACTATAAAACAGGTCAAATTTGTATTCCAACTACACATTTGTGGATATTGATATATGTTTATACCAATTTGTTATTTTCTCTCTAGAGTATACAAAGTTATATGGGTGAAGAAACTCTCCAAAAATTTCTCAACTTTTCTTTGAAGTATATGTCAGAGCTGTGGCTTCCTGTGAAAAGGTATGTTTCAATAGTATAATATATACTCAGTCAGATTCAGGATTTGTTATTCCTGTACATTTTATCATTAATTAAATCCAGCATGACATGATTAATGTATTTATAATGAGAACATACATATTTAATTTATCTTTGGATGTGCTTTAAACACTGCACATTGTCTAGTAGCCTGAGCCACCTATGCCAACTTGTCAGGCTAATTGTCTAGAGGTATTTAATTTATGTTATTAAAGGGGCACCTTCCAGTTGAGCCTAATCTCACAACAAATTTACTTTCTGGATTAAAATAACAATGGATAACAAAAGATAGATTAACATTGTAAACAACATAAACGTTAGTGTCCCATGATTCTTTGGTGCAATCCATGGGATTGAGCGGTTCCCCTTTAACTA